GGGGCGATATGCTGACTCTGTAAACCGCTTAGAGAGGGCTGAAAGCCCTATGAAGCGGTATATAAGTCTAACTGCTATTGCTATTGCTATAATTATTATGGGCAGAAATCCCTAAAGTATTAGGAATGTGATAATAAAAATAAACAATCCTGTCACTATTATTAAGTAATAATCGACCTTATTGTCATTGAAACTGTAGTGTTGCAATCCACAGCATATGTGAAAAACTGCAGAAATAATGGCAGTTTGCTTTCTACAGAAATACATGGTTTTATAAATTAACTAAAAATCTATTTTATTGCCAAGCATGTGTTTAAAATTAAGGATAGCAACAGTGGTGATTCACAAATGATTGTTCATTCAAATTAAACCTTATTTATTAATCAGTTTACTGAATGTATTGATATACATTTTATATAGGGACAAGGAGAAAAGAAATTGAAATTAACAAATTAATCTCTAGAAACATAGTTTACATATTTCCCATGTTCACTGCATATAAAATGCTTATTTAATAAATATAAAACATGCATATTTACAAGGAAGCAAAAGCCAATGGATGTTGGACTATTACTTCCTATAAATGACCCATACATTAAGACTACATTAATCAGTGTTTTTATTTTGAATGGATACTTTGTGAATTTGGCCCTCTTTAATAAGTTTGGGACTACAATTTCTAATGGGCATGTATTTTCCTTCATCTGGAAAACACTAACAAGATTGCTTAGGTCAACTCACAGGAACAATGTTCTGTAGAATCAAATGATTTGTTTGAACTCAGAAAGTAATCACAATTAGTTTCACAATTTAAGACGCTTGGAAACAATTGGAATATTTTAATTTTCTTAAGATACTAGAAATGCATTAGGACCAAGGTTGACATTCAGATTTTTTCCTTACCTGTTTTGTGGGCGTGGCGTGGTGGTGGGGCCTTGTGACTGAGTGGGTGTGGCCAACTCAATGTCACTCATGCCCATGCAATCACAGGACCGCCCCTGAAGCCACACCCACAGAACCCGATAGGAAAAAATTTGTGTATGAGGACGAGAAGGGCTCAGAGTGAATGCTGTGGCAAAGAGAAGCCGAACTTTTCTCTCTCCATTCACTGTTGCTCCCTTTATGGTCCCCCCTGGCCCCCTCCGTCCTGGGGACTACCTTAAAGGGACAGGCTGCAGCAGCTCCACTGTGAATGGAGGGAGAAACGTTCAGATTCTCTCTGCTGCATTTAATGTTTAATTTTGTGGCAGAGAGAATCCGAATGTTTCTCCCTCCATTCACAGCATTAGCTTCTGCCATTCGGATTGGGTGGGCAGGTTGAGCGGCTAGAAGGGCTGAGCAAGCGGCCAAAAGAGGTGACGGGTGACCATGGGTGGGGCCAACCAGGAGTCGTTTTTACCAGTTCAGCGAACTGATTCAAATCATCCCTACCAGTTCACCCAATCCGGTCTCATCCGGTCAAATTGATCTAGGAGTATTCATTTCAAAAGACCTAAGCCCCAGAGCTCACTGTAACAACATTGCCAAAAAGGCATTCAGAGTTGTCAACCTTATTTTACTTAGTTTTCTCTTTGGTAACGCTATGTTGCTAACTAGGGCATACAAAACTTTTGCCAGACCTATACTTGAATTTTGTTCACAGTCTGGAACCCACACTGCATTTTGGACATGAAAACATTAGAGAGGGCCCTGTACGGTGAAACGGGGCCAGGCGTCCACCACATGAAGGTGTGCAGCACACACGCACATGTGTACAGTGCGTGCATGCGTACTTACCCCCTGTGATGCTCCGCAGTGCTTCTGCGATGCTCCAGCTCGAGTGTCATGCAGACACCTTGTGCTCCATGTACATGCGCGGAAGCCCCAAAACCTCGAATACTGGTAAGGAGTGCAGGCAGGCGGGCAGGCCCTCTGGAGCACTGTACTGGAACGGTACGTGGTGATCCCGGCAGGCACCGGTGTGCCCATACGGGGCATACCAGTTGTAACCCACCACTGTTCCAGAGGTATTTTACAAGAAGAGTACTCAACTCCTCTGCTCGTAAGAAAATTCCGCATACCACCAGGCTTGAAATTTTAACCTTGAACTACGCCGTCTACATTCCGACCTGAGCTTAGTGCACAAGATAATCTGCCATAATGTCCTACCTGTTAATGACTACTTTTATTTCAACTGCAATAACATAAGGGCTACTGATAGATACAAACTAAATGTAATCCATTCTAATCTTAATTGCAGGAAAAACCATTACAGCAATAGAGAGTAATAAATGTGTGGAACACCCTACCAGATCCTGTTGTTAGTTCCTCTAACCCCCATACCTTTTACCTTAAGCTGTCTACCGTGGACCTTAACGCATTTCATAAGAAGTCCCTAAGGGGGGGGTTGCATAAGTGCACCAGAGTGCCTATCATCCCTGTCCTACTGTCCCCATTTATATGTACTCTTTTTATGTATTTATGGCTATGTTTTACTTATTTATATCCATTTATTTGTGCCATTTTTTTTCATGTGTTTTCATACGTTTCCTTGTACTTGTTGACAAATAAATAAATAAAAATAAATGAATGAACAAATTTCACCCCTGATTAGGACTCATATTTTTTCCTGCTTCTTAATAGTATTATTAATTATTATTAAATAGTATTATTAAGTATTATTAAATTACTTAATAGTAATTTTTGTAAAGAAATTAAATTCATTTACTGAGAATAGGAAAATCTGCACTGTGTTCTTTAATAACATATTAGTGACAGAATCATCCTAATAAATAGCATTTTCTTCCTCACCGAAATAAAATTTGTGGGTCAGAATTTTTGAAAAAAATTGCTCTTTCAGAAGAAATATTAAATGCAGTGTTACTCGGTTATATGAAAATCTACAGTTGCATTCCTATAGCAAATCAACTAGTTTTGTACATTCTAATGAACTGGAACTTGCTCTAAGCATTTTAGGCTGTGGTAACAAAACATACATACAAGGCTGCGGAATAGGAGCAAAGAAATTATGAAAAGAAGCAAGGCTTTACCATTTTTAGATACATAGGCTACTTAAGAAACACAAGGTAAATGTTTAAAGTACGTTTTATGAAGTCACTAAGAGAGATTGAAGAATAGCCATGTGTCTATTATAAAAGTAACCATTAATTTTTAGGACAGAATATTCTTTTTTAAAAAAAGTTTTTTATTTTTGTTACATAATAAAAATTCTTTTGTGAACAATGTTGTCCGAATTCCCCCTTTAACATTCCCCCCCAAAACAGAATTCATTTTACACTATATTTCCATTATTTCCAATTTTAGCCGTATTACCTATTTCTAATTTTTTTTCTTTTTCTTCCTTTTGTGTGTCTTGTATCTTTTCTTCTGTATCTTTCCTCTCACTTTTCAATATATTTTTTGAATATCTCTCCCCCAAGTTTCTCTTTCCCATCTCCCTTTATTTTTCTCTTTATTTTTGCTAATTTCTTTTTTTGATGTCATTTCCCTTTTTTCCTCTCTGCTCTCTTTATGCCTTTACCCCATTGAGTGTTATTTTCCATTTCTACCTTGTTAATTCCTTGTTCATTTACATTGCATATCTGTTCCCTGTCTCCACTTTCAATGATTTTTCTGGTTCCTTTTCCACCTCTTTATTACTTTTAATGTTGCTTGGGCAGAATATTCCTCAAGGTTGTATTTTGTTTTGAACAAATACGCTACAAGCACAGTTTTTGGACCTTTTAAGATCTGCAGTGGTATAACCAGATAAGTGCAATAGAAAGTAACTTATTTACCATTGGAAAATGCAGAATGCTTGCAGTTTGTTATAAAGATTTACACACATTCATACTCTTCCACTCTTATTATAATGCTTTGCTTTTCTACCCAATAGATGTCTAGTCAGTAGGTGTTTCAGTTTAAACTGGATCTCGGATCAACCTTCGGATTCCTCTTTTTCCCACAGCCCCTTTTGGCTTAGCAAAACTTTGTTTGTGTGCATGTTGTTTGGGATGGACTTCTTCATAGAGAAATTCAGCAGTTAGTTCATCTCCATCATCTATTTCAATCTGTCATGAAAGGAAGAGATAAGTAATTTTGAAAAAGGCTCCATCCAGCATGTGTGCATATATATGTATTCTTCGGAAAAGACCCAAATACAACAAGACCAGCATACCTACACCTGTGAAAATCTATGAAATCTATGAACATACACACACACACACTATTAAAGATATAAATCTTGAACTGACCATTTTATAGATTTTAAAAATCTTATAAAATCTGTCACCTAATACTGTGTTTCCCTGAAAATAAGTCCCTTTGATGGACTTTGTCTCGGAGTTCTGAATTGCAGTGAGGAGTTAATTGGAACTAATTAACATTGTCATTAACCTCAATCTTCTTTTAAAAAAGAAAAATTTCCAGTGGCTTCCCAAAATGGTGCCACTCTGGGTTCCTGAGCCTCGGCCGCACACTGATCTACTGGGGGAGCGCAAAGACTCAGGGAAGATGGAGCAAAGAACGGCAATTCCCGAGGGAGCCACCGGGTGGAGGAGGATATTTGTGGGGCCATCTGCTATCCATCGACGGCGGGAGTCGCCAAAGCTGAAGCAGCGGAGACTGAGCTCCAGAGTTGCGCCTGGCCCAAGGAGCCAGGGCTGTGACAGTCCTAACAAACTGGCCTGATCCTGATGGATGAGGGAACTGGATCAGCAGCCCCACTATGATAGGAAGCTGCAGTGATGACCCGACTGCCTCCAGGAACATTAAGTCATCCTCAATGTGTAACAGCCTTTGGGTGGAGGACAATAACGCCCCTGGAGTTCATTGAGCCATGTTGGAGCCTAGCCCAGCCTACGTTCCACTTTCAAGGGCAAGGGAACATGGTGGTTCAAAGTGGGACCGTGGCTTTCCCCCTCGAATCTGATCCATCGGTGCAGCAGCACAGCAGGGTGCAATGGCTGATCCTGGACCCCTGGGGCACTCATTGGAGAGGAACAATGAGATTACCGAGGCCCACCCGTCCACGTCCACTAGCATTCCCCCGGACTGCGTCCACTTAGCATTCCTCCCCAGACTGCTGCCAGTCAACCAAATCTCTCTGGAATGGGCCTTCTACCCAGGCCAGGGGTGGATTCAATCCCAGTGGATTCTGGCTCTGGCCCAACCACCAGTTTCATCGACTGCAGCGGCACCGCCCGCAGCTGCCCAAATACCATTCCTGGCTACTTTGATGGCATGCCGTGGAAACTAGCTTACTTTCTTTTCTAATTTTTTTGAAACAAACACAAACAAAACCATCTTCCAGTTACAAACTGTGTCAATTGGTTACAAAACTTTTGTGCTTCCTCACCATAGTCTTCACTTACAATTTATATAGAATCTCATATTATCAAACTGATATATATGTATACAATTATTATCATTGTTAAACAGTTATTTGACTATAACTATTACTACTTCCTTTTATGTGA